CAATTCCAACAGCATGAACACGGTACAAAAGCAGAAATCACAAATTCATAAATGCATACAAAATACACTTGGCGACTACAGACTACACCTTGCTAGCAACCGAGAGTTCGGCTCGCACGTGCGCGCTCATTTTCATTCGACAAAACTAGCATTTAGCTCGCTCAAAATACAACACAAACACATCTCTGATACTCTAAACATGTTAACACTGTATCACCACTATATTACTCTGGTCAAAACCCAACAAACCTGGAAACGGGGAGAAATAATCATAACCACGATTTAGTGTAGGTTCCTGGATTGAGGAAAAACACCGTGATTCCCGCTCAGAGTGGGAGGAGACAAAAGCAATCGATCTCAGACTAACCGACTGAGGTACAATAGAAGATTACCGATCCTTCACGGCATTACATAAACAGTTAGGACTTAGATAAACTACATTAAATAAACCATTAATTATTTAACCCTTTTTATCACACATTTTTACTACTTTTAACATACTTTTCCAATAATTTCCAATAACCTTTTTTTATAACACATCTGTTTTTAAATCTGTTTTTAAACGTAATATACCATGACAACTATCATGAATTATAATATTTTAACCTATCATTATCTTTTAACCTGTCACATACATAATGTTTTCAAAAGCACAACTATTTATTACAGTTGTTCACATAGCTTTTACTGCATATTCTAACTTATTACACCTACACTGATTATTACTCCTGGCAAACAAGAGTTGTTTAAAAAAGCTGGTACAGTGCAATACAGCTCAATTGTTATATTTCAAAAGGAGATATGCCCACATTTGTTACTGCATGTGTGCTTGGCTGCATGCTGGCATAATGCGAGGGAGAGGGAGAGACATGGAGCGAATTTATTACATGCAGTCAACCCTAACCCCGTCTTTTATTGTGCATCACGTGTGCATATTGCCGAAAATTGTAAATAAAGGCTTTGAGTGGCGTTTACGTGCGTGAGACGCTGCCGAAGCGCGTGCACGACGAAGTCGGTGCAGACCGCTGCATACATTAAAATAAAACGTTTTTGCTCAGTTACACGCGCGAGTAAAAAACGCGACTGAGACGCAAATCTTGAGGGGGCAGGCTGGTAACGTAGCTAGTTTAACTAGCATTGTTAACTTAGCTACTAGCCTAGTAACCAAGTAGCGAATTTACTGTAGTACATTGGTCAAAGCAGCAAACGTTTATCATCAAGTCCCTCGCTATTATTTCATATAATGCATGTCGATTTGCAGGCAAAATACTTACTTTCACAAGCTTGGTTGAAGGTCTTCCATTGAAATAAATCCTCTGTCCGTTGTAGCTAAGTTGTTGTCAGCTAAAGAAGCATGGGGACTTGCCCTTGCTGTGCATTCTGGGAAACCCTGTGTTTTTTTTCTAACTTTGTTGTACCAACTACAAATTTCAATTTCAGCTTATTCACAATTACAAATGTATACACAATGAGGTTCACATGATTGGTCTTTTGTGTATTTTCAAGTTAAGAACAGCTATTTTAATTTTCATGTTCAAACAAATCAGAATACCAACTCTGCTGAATAGATTGTCGTTTTCTTTTTTACAGTGCAGGGCCCGCCTTTGTGTT